TAATTTACTTTTTTAAAATTTGAGCATTTCTATTTAAGAAATTTTTTAACGTTTCTTTTTGCAAATCTAGATATTGTTTAAACCGGTATTTCTAGGCACTTCTTTAGTTTTTCTCACTATTTTTTGCAACACGATGTTTTAAAAAAGTTTTGATTGACACTTTTTAAAGTTAAGCATTTAAAAAAAATTAAATGTTTTTTTCAAGTTTAGAAGTCGGTATTTCTTGACAATTTTTTAGTCTTCCCAACTGTTTTTTTTTTAACACGATATGTTAAAAAAGTCTCAATTTACATTTTTTATATTTGAGTATTTTTATTTGACAAATTTTTAAACGTTTTTTTTTCAAATCCAGATAATATTTAAACCGGTATTTCTAACACTACTTTAGTCTCCCTCACTGTTTTTTGCAACACGTTGTTTAAAAAAAATTCGATTGCCATTTTTTTAAATTTAAGCATTTCTAAACGAAATTTTTAAATGTTTTTTTGCAAGTCTAGAATTTTTTTAAGCCGGTACATTTGACACTTTCTTAGTTTCGCCAACTGTCTTTTGTAGCAAAATGTTTTAAAAAGTCTCAATTTACATTTTTTTTTAATTTAAGCATTTCTATTTAAGACTTTTTTTAACGCCTAGATATTGTTTAAACCGATATTTCTAAACACTTTTTTAGTTTTTCCCACTCTTTTGCAACACGATGTTTTAAAAAAGTCTTGATTGCCATATGTGAAAGATGCCAGTCCCGGAAATGATCCAATCGACTCTGAAATCGGTGTTTATTTCTAGCTATTATGTTAATTAGTTTGCACAAAATTTCATTAGATAAATGCACTCGACGCGCACGAGTTTCTGTTCAGCCGTATGTTCTTCTCTCTAACAACCAATCAACACTGCGCTAATTAGAAAACGTGACGCATTCGAATTGAATTAAGGACGGGTTTCATTGGGATCTATTTACGCTATTCTCCGGTTAAAACAATTTTATAATTGAATATTGGAAACGTGCGGGAAGATGTAACGACCGATAAACATCGATTCGACCAATTGGGTAATATTCAAGTGGGGTAATTAATAAAATTGCCAGACGGAAAATTCGAAGAAATTCAATTCCGGCTGTTGGGAAAGCTGATTTGAATTTTAATTCCAAGAAACCGAAAGGGTTAATCAATGATCTTGATAAACTCGACTAGATGCGCCTTAAAGTGGGAGCTATTGACTTCCACATAAGCATAGCAAATGGTTTTTTTGTTTTGTTTTGCAAATTTTAGGTAATTATAAAATAGAATTATTTTGGTATAATTTGTTTCTCTTTGGCACGACAAAAATGCTTTTGGTTGGACATGAGACAAAATTATAAAACTTGTTTTTTTAATTTTGATTTTAAGTTTGATGTGTTTTTGAATTCACTAAATAGTCAATTGCAATAATCATGTTGTGTTATTTTTATGAAAATAAATTGTAAAAAATGTAAAAGTGCTGCTATTTTTAAGATTTTAATAAAGTTTCTCATCATTTTTTCCACACGCTCTTCTAAATTATCTAAGTCAATATTTAAAAACCTTTAGTCAAAATTATAGTTTCACTCTTTTATTTTGAAATTTTTAGATTTATGAGGTTCTTAAAATATATTTTTAAATTTTTTCTTATAGAATTTTTGTTTTCAAAACATATTTGCTTCAAAGTTTCTGTTTTTTCCTAGTTCTCAAGATTTTAACACTTGTCAAGTTTTTTATTAGTTTTTAAGGTTTTGAATTCTATATTTTGGAAAACTGGAATTTGTAAAATTATGTGTTTACCTCATCATATCTTAAATCTGTTTTTTTTCTTACACATCAAAGAGATCTACTATTACAAGATTTTATCACTGTCTAATATTTTATCAATTATCTT